TGTGTGTGTGGGGGGGGGGTGTTCTTAAGTGAATTTGCTGTTTTTTTCAGATTTATTATATTGACTACTCAATTTACAGGTATTTTGAGTGCTATATTTTACCATGAATTATACATGAGAAAGAAAAAGTGGCATCTCTAGTTCTTATGTTTGTATTTTTGTGATGGCGTAGGTGAGAGCAACGGTTGCAGAGCTGAAGAATGCAGTTCGCTTATTCAGTCTATTGTCTGCAGCTTCAAATCTTCATGTTCATGGATTTGATGAGAAAAAAATTGAAACTCATGTTGGATATTGCAAGCATTTGCTTGAGGCTGCAAAAGTTCACTGTGAGGCAGCTGAGCGTGAAGATCAACAGAATAAGCAGAGACTGGAACTTGCTCGTCAGGTCATATTGGCTGAAGAAAATCGTAGAAAAGCTGAGGAGCAGAGAAAATATCAAGTTAGTTCTCTATGGCATTGTGTCTTCTGGTTATTGCTTTTGCTGCTTACTTTTACTCACATGCCTCTGGAAACAGTTAGAGAGAAGGAAACAAGAGGATGAACTCAAGCAAGTGATGCAGCAAGAGCAGCATTTAGAGCGCATTAAGGTATATTTTGTCATTTGTCAGTGCTATACATCACAATTTTAGTGAGGGCACATCAGCTTTATACTCGGAGAAATTACTTTAGTAGATTTCTGAGCACCAAAGGAGGAGATTTAGACTATCTTCACATAAGCAGTGTCTCACACTTCCTCCAAAATGTGTATCATTTCAGGTTCTAGTCCTCAAATTTCTCACTTTGGGAAATGGAAATTATCTAATTTAAAAATTTTCACCTGAACACTTTTGGATAAAAGGAGTGTGTTTGTAGAAAGGAGAGATGGTGTTGGCATCTCCCCAAACAGGGATTGGAACAGCCTTCGGGCTTTGCCTGTTACCGGACTTTTGAGTAAAAAGAGTGACTTGGGTTTAAGACTAAAAAAATTAAAAAAATGGAATTTACAATTTTTTGATTTGATTAACCAAGGATTGTCAGATTATTTTATTGTTTAGGTGATGGCATGACGGCTTAGGTATGATAGAAATACTAAAAGAGAAGTTATAGCACTTTCCAGGATAACATACTAAAATAGAGGCGTAAGAAACAGTTAACTGATCTCTAAACAGCAAGGTCAAACGTGTACTTCGGTTTACATATCATTGCTGTTCGTCTTTCTTCTCTGTCCTCCAAGGATAAGAATTTTCGGTTACACTTAAAGTTCAAGAAATTACATATTTTGTCGCTAGGAACAATGGAAGAGTAGTACTCCTGCCTCTAAGCGAAAGGACAGGCCCCAGACTGAGGATGACGAGGGCGGGCATGGTGAGAAGAGGAGGAAGAAAGGTGGGAAGCGGAGAAAGAGGGACAAGAAATCTCATTACGAATCTGAGGAAGCAGAAGCGGAGATGGATGATCAGGAAGAAATGGATGATGGTGACCGTCACAGAAATTATGAAGAACCTTATTATCCAACAAATGATCATGATGAGCAAGCAGAGGATAATCCACAGGATCTACTTGCAGCAGCCGGGCTTGAAGATTCGGATGCCGAGGATGACACTGTAATCTCTCTTTCTCTGTGTGTGTGTGTGTCTATATATATTTGTACTCTCCTTATACTGTTACACTATTTGGTTCAAGGGATGGAGAGGTAAATTTGGAGTGTACTTATTGTGCAAATGTCATTTCCCTTTTGGTGATTTGGTAGAAATGGAGAGGATGTAAAAGGCATTTACTTCCTCCTTCCTATCTAAACTCGAGTACTTGGAAATTCTGTTCTATCCTGAAAATAAGAAACTTAACCTTTATGATTCCTCTTTTACTTCCCTACTGCTCCACTTTCCAACCAACCAAACGGCAATATGTTTGGGTCACACTAGAATACTACAACAACATAGCCAGTATTATCCCACACCGTGGGGTCAGGGGAGGGTAGTGTGTACGCAGACTTTACCCCTACCTTGTGAGGATAGAGAGGCTGTTTCCAATAGACTTTTGGCTCAGGAAAGTATAAGCATCACATTAATGAAAATATAGACAAGAAGGGACAGCACCAAAAAGCCATATAAAAGCAAAATAAAAACAACAAGATAGTAAGGTGATCAACAATGAAAAAAAACAACAGTTAGTCATAAAAACCTACTACCAACAGAAAGTGAGACTGCGTGTCAATACTACTGTTATGAACACTCTGGATTACCTACTCTACTACCCTAATCCTCAATCTCTATACCTTCCTATCAAGGGTCATGTCCTCGGTCAACTGAAGTTGCACCGTGTCTTGCTTAATCACCTTTCCCCACCTCTTCTTTGGCCTACCTCTACCTCTCCGTGGGCCCTCCAATGTCAACCTCTCACACCTCACCGGGGCGTCTATGTCCTCCTCCTCACATGACCAAACCACCTAAGTTGCGCTTCCCGCATCTTGTCCTCAATAGGGGCCACACCCACCTTGTCGCGAATAACCTCATTTCTAATCCTATCTAACTTGGTGTGACCGCACATCCGTCTCAGCATCCTCATCTCTGCTACCTTAATTTTCTGGACATGAGCGATCTTGACTGGCCAACACTCAGCCCCATACAACATTGTCGGTCTGACCACCACTCTGTAGAACATACCTTTAAGTTTTGGCGGCACTTTTTTGTCACACAAAACACCGGAAGTGAGTCTCCATTTCATCCATCCCGCCCCAATACGATGGGTGACATTTTCATCAATCTCACCGTCCCCTTGAATAATAGACCCAAGGTACTTAAAACTTCCTCTCCTAGTCTAGCCTCACCTCCCCCCCCCCC